TTTACCTATAAGATTTTTTTATCTTGCTTGTTAATTACTCATTAGCATCGTATAGTGATGCAAAAATAACATTATTATTAAATGCCCGCTACAGCAAATTCACATTGTATTTTATTTTAAAGAAATAAAAATTTTTTAAATTGAAAATGAAATGTGTTTGCCCCAAAAATTATGCTCGCTGGATGAATAAATTTTTATTTTGTTTGTGAGCATTAAAACTAAAATTACAGCAGAAATGTGAGGAAGTAACACTCATCAGTCTTCCTGATAATTTAATAATTTTGGTGTGTCGATCAGTCGACTACTCTTTCCAGTCATCTCTACATTTCATCGTTTCCCACTTTTCAAAAACCTGTTTATCTCTTTTCTCCATACTGACTTTGATAGCAATGTGCATCTTTAGGAAGAACACATCACAAATGTATCTCCGCTACGGATTACGGTAATTCCCAATATGGTAAGCTTCTTGTCGCTTGTTTCTTGACGAATGAAAATGAAGAAAAATAAAGTTTTTTTTCTCAATTAAAACTAATCTTGAACAAGAGTTTACGTTTAAAGATTTATTGGAAAGAATTCTTGTGAATTTTATTAGTTCATCCGAGTTTTGCCTTATTTTTAATTAATCTACCTAATGATAATTTTGTATTCTTATAGATTTCATCAATTATTTTTAGTTAAAATTTGCAAATCACATTTCTCTTTTACTTTTTCTGGACAAATGAGAACTTTATACAGGTAAGTTTATTTATTTTTTTTTCGAAATTGAGTTAAGTTTAATTAAATCGAATTAATGCGTATATTAATACGAGGATTATTGCCAGACGGTAATCAATACAGGTGAAGCGGAAGATTAATGGTTAATGGTAGGTCAACGGACCGGACAATTCTCATGGAATCAAGGGCATTTGATGGAAGAATTAAAACTAAACACGCAACATCACATCAATGATTTATTATAATAAAATCCGGGAAGGTTTAATTCCATACGCCACAATCATCGTATCGATGTATTTTAGACATGGCTTCTTAATATTTGAAATATTTAGAGGTGAATAGATAGCAAACAATTCCAGTTTAGCACCTTTTCTCCAACGAAGACTGGAATTGAAAATCTTTCAAATTTTAAGGAACTATATTTCTTATTGAAGTTTTATGATTGCTTTTTTGAATTTATTTTCATATTAAGTCAGTGAAGTTTTCCGCAAAATCACAACTAGCATTTAATTTTAAATCTAATAGTGTTCAAATTTAATAAAACTTCATCTAATTTCATGCAATCATCTTTCTAAACATAATTAACAAGCAATCAGATAATCATCAAGTTAATCGTTGTGTAAATAAAAGTAGTAAGGAGGAGCAAATCGTTTAACAACGATCTCAAATAATGAGATTTGACATAAAAATACTTAAGTGCTATACTGCACCTTCGAAGATTAATTTTACTTGCAAGTATTACGTAATTAACTGTTTCTTAACATTTTGTTACATCATTCTTTAAGATGAGCAAGAATTAGCATTATATTTTCAGGCGTTGGCACTTCAGTTTATTCGCTTAGTTAAATCTTAAATTTTTCATATTGTAATCATTTTGCTTAAATTAATTAAATTAAAGATTCAAATTAACAAAGCTAAAATATGGAGACTAGACAAACCTTTAAACATCCAGCGTGAAATTCTAGATCTGGATTGACACGTAGCACAAAGGGGTCACGTATTTCTAAAATAAATTCTACTCATTACAAATTTAAAAAATTTGAATTAAAGTTTTTTGCATAACAAATACTTAAAAATTTAAGTATTATTGCTGCTATATGTGAAAGAATGAGGACAAAAAAGTTGGATTGAAAACGACTTGTTTTTGTTTGATTTATGCTCTAAGTTTAATCAATGAAAGCGTGCGAAATAAGCCATTTGAAATTCTCAAACTGTTGGATTATTTAAAATAAAAAATTTATGAATTTTGTGTGAGCTTCGAGCCATACCTTGCAAGCATGCGATACACAATCGACATCCATGCTCCTGCTGTCTCTGTCCATCTGATCCTGCGAATTATTCATTTTGGTAGAGCTTTTATTTAGTTCAAACGATGGAAATGGAAAGAAATACTTCCAATGGCTATAGTTATTGGATTTCTCAACTAACTTTTAATTTATAATTTCATCGTCAATTTTATTGATAATTTTGACAAGATGTTAATAGCTCTGATAAGAGGTAGGAAAAAATCAGAATAATTAATCAGTGCAAATGGTGTGGCAATAAGATATGACCATATCGGTTTGATCTTTGGTTTTTTAAAATATTTTAAAGTGATTTTTAAAATATTTTAAAGTAATGAAACTGCTCTTGAAAAATGTCGAAAGATGAAATAATTGAAAATATGCAATTTTAATATTGCAGTAGTGTTTCTGCAAAAGATATCAAAAAACGATAATGCAATTCAAATTATAGAATCTAAGAAAAACTTTTCAATTGATATATAATGGTGACAATGAAATCAATTACATTAAAACTGAAGATTTATTACATTTTTCAAAGAACACACTCAGGAAAGCCATTTCAAACTACAATTTAAGGGTTTAATGATGGACGGTAGAAGTTAGTGAATCCGAAACCCTAATTAACAGTTCCATAAATCAGTCAAGCCTGAAACCAGATGTCTTTTTAAAATTATTGGCCAAGAAAATGCCACTTTTAGGAGCTATTTTTTAATGGGCTTTAAACGACCTTCTAAAATACTCCACCTGATTTTCCGCTCCTGCCCTTTTCATTCTACATCAAATTAACCAAATCGAAAACCTGTTATGTTTTATTAAACAAATTCTGATATCTAACAGTTAAATTTCTCAGGCTAATTCTTCACAATCAAAATTAGACAAGTTATGTAATAAGACTAATCTAAGCTACATAGTAGATGGAACGATTCCCTGTATCATTACTTCATAACTTTATCTTCTTGGCTTTGTAAAATTGTTTCTGAGATGTTGATCTTATACCTTTAAGTTAAACAAATTTTCTGAAGTGTCAAGTTGAAAATACAACGAATATATGAATGAAATAGAAATAAGAATGAAATGATAGTATTCTAAATTTTTCCATCCACGCCACATGGTGTCCTAACATTGAATATAAGTAATTATGCAAATATTGGCTCGATTAGAGTGAAAGGGAGTGGACAGCTAAAATGGAAAAGGTAGTTGTTAGAATTGGGTGCATTTCTCCTCTGATATGATGCATTTTATGATTTTCTTTTTCTCTCTCCCTCTCTTTATTTCTCTCTCTTTTTTTCCATCACTTAAAAAAGAGGCATGATGAAATGATATATTTGGGAAATTAAGGCTTTACTCAATTCACCATGCTCTTTAATTTGTTTCAATCAGTACAGAAAAATCGAAAAACACTAATTTTAAATTTCGTTCACTCTTTTTTCTCTCCTAGCATTTCATTAGTGGAATATATTTTTTGAATTGACCATAAAATTCTGAACATTTTAGAAGCACTACTTTCTGTTTTGTTCATCTTTTCATTTTAATAAAAAATAGAAAAAAATTAAATCAGAAAAAAACTTTTGAAAAAAAAATTCAATGTTTCAATGTTTACAAAAAAAGCTATATTTTTCAGATCAGTAGCTTGATAAGTGAAAGCAGAAGCCGAAATCGAATGCGCTGAAACTGGAATTGTTGAGGAAGCTGACGTCAACTGATGTTGAACAAATTTTGTTTTCAAGTGAAAATGTTATTTCTTGTTTTTTCCAAGTAAAAAATGATAAAAAAGAAAAATATAGCTGTGGTAAGAATTGGCTTGAAAAATTAAAAAATTTGTTTTTTTGAAAATTACAGAGTATCAGAACGCTATACCACTCTTTAAATACGAGAAAGTAATAGAAATATTAAATCTAAAAGGTATTTGGAAATCAGCCTTTATGGATATTTGCATCTTTACCTCCCTACGTAGAAGAATTGTAAAATTTTGGAAAGCTGCTAGAAAAAACGCACCTCTCTTTACAAAGTTAAAATAATCTAATATTTGAATTTTTGAAATGCAATATTTGCTCATTAATATTTCTATAGAAGATACAAAGATCGGAATAGGTTCTAAATCAAATTTTATTGCCATGTCAAGCAAATTTTATAAATTCATATACTTTTTCAAAGAGCGGAAGTGACAACAATCATATGGAGTTAGGACAGACAGAGGATGCAACATAAAACATCGAGCGATCCTTGGTTCGATCTTGATAACTTCAAAATGAGCAAACTAGTTTAAAGATTTAAGTGACAAGTTTCTTTTAGAAGGTCAGTGCAACTCGAATGCTAGCTAGCTCGCATATGGAATATAAATTTAAATAGATTCTAAATCAAAAATTTTGATAGATTTATTATATTCTAGTATTATGAGATTAATTTTGATATTAAATATGAAATATAAAATAAAGTGTAAAAATTTGAGAAAGAAACTAACTGAGTTGAGTTTCGATATCATTGTCGACCTTTCCAATTGCCACACTACCATTATTGCCATTATTATTGTCAGCTGATGTGGTAATGACTAGTGAATAGGAATCAGCAATAGACGGATGTTGATCATACATGATGCAGCTCGAGTAGCCGATGCTAGGAGTTGCTGTTACTGCAGCAGAAGTTGTGGGTATCTCTTTACTACTCGAGCCAGAAGGGAAGCCCGAGTGGCTAGTATTATTGCCACCGCCACCACCACCACCGCTGCCAAAGCCGCCACCACTACTACCACTACCGTTACCGATGTTATCAGTATTATTACTGTTACTGCTACTGTTACGACTATTGCCGCCTACAGTAGCTCCTTTTTGTAATTGCTGTAAGTGATGCGGTGCTTTTTGTGGCTGCGTTATTCTGATATTTTGCTCGAGTTGTTGTTGATGTTGAGTGTTACAACGTCGAAAAACACCACGGAAAGCAATTAAATTTGTGGCCAGCTTGGTTCACTTCAATTGTTGCCGCCTTGTGCTTTTTGTTGCGCCAACAAATATAAAGTGATGAAAATAGTCAGATTGAATTCACAGTAATTCGAATGAAATTTGAAAGTGAGGGAGTGTAATAGATTAGTTAAATAAAATTATTGAAGCAATCCAAAAGATCCCGTAAGTGAACAAATTGTGAGCTTCGAAATTTTCACTGATTTGTTAAAACGTATTTCTATGCTTCAACCCCAAGATTATCAACAGTTGTCGATGGTACCAACCTGAAATTAAGTGTTGAGTAGCATGAGACCTTGAGTTTTTAAGCATTGTTTAAGCTGAAATTCGAAATATTGAAACAAAGAAGCTCGATAACTGCATACCATTTTTTTACTATACTTAGTAACATAGTAAAGTAAAGATCGTAAGATAATTGAATAGAGAAAAATCGCAAACGATTTAATTCCAACTTGATCCAAAAGCAATAGTTATTGATAGAATTTACAATTTTTTTCAATCCTTTTTTCCTAGACAGATAGCGCAATTATAATCATGAGGAAAAATGCATATTCACAAAAATATTTTAAAAACAAAAAATATTTTTTAACTGCTAAAATTTTTGAAAAATGATTTGAAAGAATTTATTGAAATAATCAGGAGATCTGTTAAATGATATAAACATTAAAGAAAAATTTAAATTTCAAGTTCAAATAAAGCAAAAAGAACACCCTATTAAGTCGTAAAATGATGATTTCAGGAATTTGAATGTGCCAGTATCATCAGCAAGCAACAATATCACAAAAGCACTAGCAGAGAGAATCGGAATCGAGGAAGAGGGAGTAGCATCGAGAAGTCTTTCTTTTCCACATCACTATCCAGATCCCACCCCTTGAGCGGTTCTATGGGATACGGTAGGCAGATAGTTAGGCAGATAGGCTTGCTCTAACACTCCACCCCTTCCACTAATGATTGTGATGAAGAAACAACGCGACGCCGTGAGCGATGACGACGACGACGACATTGGCAACGACGACTGCGACGATCATTTATTCATTCATTTTTAGGATACATTATCTATTTAGTAGAGAAGCTAAAACAAATTTTTTCCTTATCAGTACTACTGATGATAGAAGAGTAATAACGAAGTCTTCGATTGAGAGATTTTGCGAAAGTATTGAAGCTGAGAGCCGACTTGAAAGGTACCTAACCTCTTCAGATAATGAATGGGAGAGAACATTTTTTGGTAGCTGATATTACTGGAATAAATTGGAGCAGGAATTATGTTAATATCAAAAATAGCATGAGGTCAAATAGAGGAACGATTGATTGCAAAATTATGAAAGAAAATGTTTGGAAGAATAACCATAATGGAAAAAAAGAATCAATTCCATTTATATATGAAAGCATTGAAAAGAATGAAAAGATTTATATTCTGTTTATTTTCATTTTCAGTTTTTCTATTAAAAGATAAAGCAAGTCTTTTGAATTATCATTTAAGAAATAAAATCTTAATAAATAAAATATGGAAAATATTGGAAGAGTAAAATTACACACCGTATCCTAATGCCTTACCAATATGCCATGTAGTAGAGTTAAGGCATGGTAAAAAATAATTAAGCCATAAGTTTTTTTTTCGTTTTATGAAGCAAAAACCCAAATCCAAACAGATGAAATCATTTCTCATTAAATGATAGAGATAACCTTTAGTTTATCCGTTTTATAACTATTTTCAAGTTATTTTTTGCTAATTAAGTCAGTGATGAATAATTGACACGAATGTGCCTGGCATATTTTCTCAATATTTTTCAAATTAACTTTAAATTTTTAAGTTTTCAAATGCAATCAATAATATTACTTTCACGGCATAATGAGTTAAATATTTAAAATAAACTTGAAGTGAGAATCAAAACAAATTTAAATTGGAAAAGTGAGTCAGAATAAAATATCAAGTTCAATTCGAAAATTTCGTCTTTATTTGAAACAAAATTTATAGTTAAATAATGTGAATAGTTGTTGTAATGTATAGAAAACACTTTAGTTCAATGATGATTTCAAAAGAATATTGGATTTTAAGAGAATATCATTAATATTATTGCATGACAACCTTCTCCTAGCAATGAATATTTGTTGTAATTTATAAAAAAAGAAAAGAAAACATCTATAAACATCTTCTTTGCTTCCTTTTCTTGTCCATAGATTTCAACCAATTTTATTGATATGTTGCCAAC